AATTGTGAGGATTGCTAGATACAGCAGGGCTCATGCCTGTAATTCCAGCACTTTGGGAGGTAGACGTGAAAGGACAGCCTGAGCCCAGGGGGTCGAGACCAGTCTGGACAACTTGGAGAGACTCTGTCTCTAAAATGAAACAAGGCCAGGTGCGGTGGCTCACACCCATAATCCCAACACTTTGGGAGGCTGAGGTGAGAGGACTACCTGAGCCCACGAGTTCCAGACCAGTATGGGTAACTTGGCAAGATGTCATCTCTACAATAAATCAAGAAAAATTAGCCAGGCATGATGGCACATGACTATAGTTCCAGCTACTTAAAAGGCTGAGGCGGAAGGATCACCTGAGCCCAGCAGGTCAAGGCTGCAGTGGCCGTGAGTGTGCCACTGCACTCCAGCCTGGGTGAAAGACTCCGACTCAAAAAATAAATAATAAAATAAATAAATAAATAAATGAGCTGGAGGTGGTGGCACACACCTGTAATTCCAGCTACTCAGGAGGCTGAGGCAGAAGGATCTCCTGAGCCCAGTAGGTAGAGGCTGCGGTAGCTGTGAGCTTGCCACTGCACTCCAGCCTGGGCAACAGAAATTCCCACTAAAAAAATAAAGAAAGAAAGAAAGAAAATTGTGAGAATTAAAAATGCCAAGTTGACTGGGTGCGGTGGTTCAGCACTTTGGGAGCCTGAGGGTTTGAGACCAGCCTGGGCAACTTGGTGAGACTTCATCTCTACAATAAATCACAAAAATTAGCTGGGTATGGTGGCATGCATCTGTAGTTCTAGCTACTTGGAAGGCTGAGGCAGAAGGATCACCTGAGCCCAGCAGGTTGAGGCTGTGGTGGCCATCAGTGTGCCACTGCACTCCAGCCTGGGCGAGGAAGTGAGACTCCAACTCAAAAAATAAAAATGCCAGGTCAGTACCATAAGCCTGAGGCAGACTCCATCTAAGTCCCTAGGCTTCCAATCCAGTATTCGTTGCCTTACTAATCCGGATTTCTTTTCCCTAGATCCATCTCAAATCTCACATCCTGAAGCCCTGCCTCCTCACCTTGATGCCCACAACACCGCCCTTGGATTTGATGACTTGGGGAAAGGGACGCCCATCATCCGCCTTCTGGTAGAGTGTCTCATGGAAGAGGATGACACCCCCAATGCAGGGATTCACACGGTCATCGGCTGTCAACAGCAGCTGGCGGTAGAAGCGCCGGTTCTCCTCAGTGTTCTCAGTGCCAATGGACTGGAGGCGCTTGGCAATGCTCCCTGGAGGGGAGTGTCACATGAGAATAAGGGGATCAGTCCATCTCTCCAAACCCAAGTCCCTCCTCCCATTCTGTTTCCTGTCCGCACCAGTGGACTCATCTGCAGCCAGGATGCCCTTGCCCGGGGCCACAATTCGGTGAGCGATATCAGAGAGCTCCTTCTTCTGCTCCGGGGTCAGTGCTGGATATTGGTAGGGCATGGTGCTGGTGGTAGCAAGTTCCTGGGTAGATGATACAGACGGGGGGGAGGACTGGTTAGCTGGCCTTCCCATGGTCTCCCAGTGAACAGGGCCCCTCACATGGAGGTCAGGACAAACATTCCCTACCTCCCCTGCCCCACACCCAGCAGGGCCTGGGCACTTCCTGTCCCCAGCTTCCTTATACAGGCCTGCCTCCTGTACCTTTCCTAACTCTGTCTGGTGCTGGGTGTTGCCCAGCTGAGGGTGGAGTTGCCCAGTGGCAACTGGGGGAAAGGAAAAGGCCACAGCCATGGACAGACGGGTCATGTTGAAGCTGGACCCTTCTGGCTTGCGCCTTGCCATGGGGTCACCTTGCCTAGAAACAAAACCGAACCGGAGTATTTTAGATTGTAAAGGCTGTGAATAGGGCAGAAGGCCCAACACCCTCATCTGAAAGGGCCAAAAAAGGGGAAAGATTGTGCGTCAAGCCACACAGCAACCCAGGAGCCAGAACTGAGATTAGAACCCAGATCTTATGACTGCCATTGGGGTGGTCCTTCCAATCCACCCAAGTTCCCCGGGCTGGCCCAGGCTCCAATGCTTCAAGGACATCCCAAGGTCAGGCTTCTACCCCAAAGTAGGGAGGGGGTGGTAGGAAAAGGGTATTAGGAAAAAGGAAGGAAGGCAATCAGAAGCACAGGGAAGGGCAGCAGAGCAAGCCCTAGCCTGAGGCAGGGAGAAGCGGTGAGGTTTGCCGTTGTCACTGCTCTTGCAGGGATAGAATGCCGGCAGAGGCAAGCGCCCCACCCCTTCCCCCCGAAAAATGCTCCTGTCGGTTCGCACGGTTGCAGCTGTTCCGGGCTCAGAATCAAGGTCACCCGATAAGGAAAGACAGGGAAAGTGTGAATCGGGCATCGGACACTGCCAGTGGGTCTCCCCTCCACGCCAGGGGCGCCCTTCTCCCAGGGCAGGAACCTCCCGCTTGCGAGAATCCCGGGACAGTCTATGGGCTGGCCCCCACCCCTAGCTGCCTCCAGGGATCCCTTCCAAGGCTAAGGGACCCTACTCCTTTGCACCAGGGGTGCCCGCAAGAAAAGGGGAGGGGGAATGGCCCTCCATCTCAGCCCGCTTCCTCCCCCGCCATGACTCAGCGCCGCGGAGCCGCTGCGTTGCGCAGCAAACCGAGGGAGCTCAAGCCGGAGAACGCCGGGGCTGGGAGCGTGAGTGGGGGGGTGCGGAGATGCTGGGACGAGGGGGAAGGCTCCGCGCGGACGCCCGACCCGCCACTGCCCCCCAGATCTGCCTGCACGGCCCCTGGCCCCCGCACGCGCGGAGGACGCTCACCTGGCACAGGAGAGGGGAGGGTTTGCGGGGTGCGGCGGCGGAGGGCGGCGGGCTGGCGATGGACTAGGGAGCGAACGCGGGAATCGTCACCAGGTCCCTGTTCGGCCGCGCGTTCCAAGAGGAACGCAGACGACCCAGCTCCGGAGGGGGCGGCGCGGGGGGCGGGCAGGAGAGAGGCGGTGCCCGGCCTTTTAAAGGCATCGCTCCGCCCTCCGCCGGGTTTTCTCCTTTGCAGGGAGCGGGAGGCGTCCAATTGCAGGACGCGGAACTTGCAAGGGGCCGCCCCGAGAGAGGCGAAGCCCAGAAGCCGCGCTGGGGAGGGGACAGGGCGGGGAGAACATGATCCCTTCCCCGCCCCCCTCGGACGTGACTCGGGCCACATCCCGCGGGTCGCCAGGGCCCTCCCCGCGCTCTCGCGTTTTCCCCCGCCTGCGCGCTCTGGGGCGCCGTGACTCAGCTGCAATGCTGGCACCCGAGGGTGTGGGGATGGGGAAGTGGGGGGAAAGCGGGTGGAAAAGTCAGACAGGATGAAGGCTCGGTTGTCCCTCCCAGGCCCCAGCCCGGCAGCCCGGGGCAGCCCCAGCTTCCCGCCCGCGTGGCTGCAGCGTGTCACGCGGCGACCGAATCGAGAGGTCGGGCGTCTGCCCGCCTCGCCCGCGGGCTGGACTACGCAGGGCGCGGAGCCGATCCCTCCCTCGCCAGCCCAGGCGTAAGAGGAGTCGGAGGAAAGCACAACGAGGCAGGGCACTGAGCCTAGGCCAAGCCCCACCCCATTGCGTCCCAGGTCAGAGTGTCGGGCGTCTCAGGCCGGGAAGACCAGCCTTGCCCGCACATGCGCACGCGCTCTCCTTCCCGGGCAGCCACCGAAAACCAGACAACGCGGAAATTGACCGAATGCTGCTCGGCCCAGCAAGTCTGGGGATGCAGAGACAAAGTCCCTGCTTTTGAAACGTCTTCCTTGGACCTGACTTCTCCAAAATAAAATCCGTCCGAAGTGATCCGCCTCTCAGATACACTTCGAGCCCCCCTTTCCTGCCGTCCAAGTCTCTCCTCCCCATCCGGACTCCTTCGGCCCAGCCCCACCCAATCTCGGTCCTACTAGCGGCCCACCTGCGGCGAGGCTGAAGGAGCCGGCAGAGCCTGGTCAGCAGCGAGTGAGCCAGGCGTACCCGGGCTGGGTTATAAGGCACTTCCTACCCTCCCCTGCCCCGGCGTCCCCGACCTTCTCCGGTGACCCCTGCCCTTTCCCCGCCACGGATCCCCTGGCAGGGACCTATATTTAGGGAAACCTGAAGCCCCTGACATTCATGCCAGTGTGGGGCCCGCATGGGCTATGGGGGAGGAAGCCTTGGGCCTACTCTATTGAGGGGGAGGAGGGGCCCCTTGCCCACTCACCAGTACTTCAGAGGAAATTTCTTCCTTGGAAATCCAGACACAGGCCCTTGGTTGTCAAGAGAAGGAAATCTTTGGCCAGGGATCTGTGGGAGGGAAAGGCGTAAGGGGACTCAGATCTCACGGCCCTTCCTACCTCCTTTCTGTTGGCTTCTTTCTCTAATCCCCCTCCTCCCCTGTCTCTGGGCCCTGATGGTGGCTGTTGTGGTTCTCTGGAGCCCATTTTTTTAGAGGGAGAGCAGATACAGGCACTACACTCACCTCCAAAAATAACCAAGAGTCCATGGACGAGGTGTAGTTAGGGGACCCCTATATAGCCTGATGCTCCAGGCCAAGCTCTTCCTATAATGCTGTGATGAGCAGTGCCCCCTTCACTTTCTTTTTTTCCCATTATTATTTTTGATTTTTTTGCAGAGACAAGGTCTTGCTATGTTGCCCAGGCTGATCTTGAACTCCTGGGCTTAAGCAATCCTCTCATCTCAGCCTCCCAAAGTGCTGAAATTATAGGTGCAAGCCACGGCACCCAACCCCTCCCCCTACTTTCAACTATGATAGTTTACTTGGGGAGGGAAAGGAGGGCAGGGGCACCTGCCAGAGCACTAGCCCCTCTCTCTTCTGGCCCTCCAAAGGACCTGCTGTCCAATCCAGTAGACCAAGAGTCCCGTCTTGCAGGGAGCCAGACCCACTCCACTGCTCAGGGTTCAGGTTCCCAGGCCTATAAGCTGGGTAGGCCATTTGTGGTTCCAGTGTCCTGGAGAAAGCTGTCCTGAGGCCTCTTAGGGAGGAGGGCATGTGGGCCCTGGGGGCTGGCCGCTCCCCAAAGGGCAGGGACCCTGGGTCCTCATCGGAGCTTGATCTGAAAGCAGAGACAGTTGAGGCTCTGGCAGTCGGGAAGTTTGCACGCACAGGCACAGTCGCAGAGTGGGCAGCAGCGAGGACAGCGAGGGGCCCAGTCCTGAGGGAGGAGAGAGGAATGAGGGAGGTGAGACCAAAGCCAGTCTGCTTCCTTCTAAGTAGAGAAGGGGACAGAGAGACCTGGAAAGTCACATTTGCCCAGTGGAACAGAGGGTACCATTTACCATTCTTGGGAACAAATCAATTCTCTGTATTGTTGAGAAATCAGCAATGAGGCAATGTTCTGAACAACTGAGTTCAGGAGCTGGAAGTGATTATTTAGGGGTTCTCTCCTTCCCATTTTATGGTTGAGAAGGCTGAGGACCAGAGAGCAACTGGCCCTGGGTCCCATGCTAGGATTTGAGTATCCCAGTTTCCAGCTCAAAGATGGCTCTGCTACATCCTTGTGGCCTATGCAATTGAGAGTCAATAGATAGAGAAAGCACACACATTTTCTGTCCATCATGAAACCAGCTTGTAGGTCTTCTGGACTTCTTCCTGGTGTGAGAACAAACTACATCTCATTCACCATTTTTGAACACCTACTCTGTGCAAGGCACATATTGTGTTCATAAATGACTAAAAAAATATGTCTGATTTTCTTTGAAAATGGCAATTTCCTTCTTTTTTTCCTTTTGAGTAGGAGTCTCTGTTACCCAGGCTGGAGTGCAGTGGCATGCTCACAGCCACCGCAGCCTTGACCTCAGTCTCCAAGTAGCTGGAACTATAGGTGCGAGCCAGTACGCCCAGGCTAATTTTTTCATTTCTTTATTGTAGAGATAAGGTCTCGCCAAGTTGTCCAGGCTGGTCCTGGATACCTGGACTCAGGCAATCCTCTCGCCTTAGCCTCCCAAAGTTACACGCGTGAGCTACTGTGCCCAGCCCATTACATTTTTAAAAATGTTTTAGGAAGTTATATCTCTTTTAATGATCAGAACCCTGAGCAGAGGGTCTCTTTACAAAAGAGGAAACAGACGTTGAGAGGAGAGTGACTTCCCCACAAGAATACAACTAGGGGGTGGATCCCAGTCCTGTGATCGCCCTCAACCCTACTACCTCTTGGGGCCAAGAACAGCAGCTTCTTTCTGGGTCTGCAAGAGCAGGGACAGTACATTTCATATTCTCCACTGAGCTAGCATGGGGACTCATGCTCGGCAGGTATCTGATATACAGATTGTGTTGAATGACTGGATCAGTCTAACTTATCATTTGTCCCTCTTTAGGCAAGGAAGAAAGAGAAGGGCTTCTCAGCTTCTGGGGGGGACAGAGATCTGTCTCTTGGGGAGAAGGAACAGCATGTCCTTAGCGAACCCACCCCCCTCCAACCCAGTGCTTCCCTGGCCTGGGCAGGGATGACCAGCAACTGTCTCAGGCAGGGACTGGAGTCAGGTCAAGTGGCTGGAGTGGGACACGCCCAGGATGGCTGTGTGACAGAAGACCGGCTCCTTGAGGCCAGAGGCAGAGGTAGTGACAGTCACAGTTGTATAGTTCAATCAGAAACCGAGCCAAGCCAGGAATAGGGGAATGACCTTTCCAACAGCTGAGGTTTCGGGGTGCAGTATCAGATGACCGGTGAGATCAGGTATCACTAGGGGCTTCAGTGAGGGGAGGGGATCTGCCATCTACAGGTAGAGAGGTCTGAATTGGGCTCTGTCACTGCCAACAGGATTGCTCTTAGGGGGAGGCTGGAAGTGTCATGGTAGAAGGGGGAAAGAAGTGGTTTTCTTGCATTTGACGAGGGTGTGGTTTGGGATGTCTCTAGGGAGTCCCAGTCTGGGGATGAAATGGGCTCTGTGGGTTTTGGAGGACCACACCATTATTCTGTGCACAAAACTGGTGGCTGAGAGAGGATCCGCTGCCCTTACCTCAGAAAAGAGGGTATTAAAAGCATTTCTTGGCCCTGTCCACTGGAAGGGTTTAGATCTAGTCATTAATAACTAGCTAATGGATTTCCCAACTCTTACAAGCAGCCATGTGGCTTCTGGAAGGAATCTGCTGTTTAAGTACATTAAAGAAGGACTCCACAAGACTCTTAACCCTTGTGCTTCTCTAGGCTCTTAGGAGAGTTTTTCACTTGGATTTGTTTTTTTCTGTGACTTTTGTGAGGAACAGTCATCATCTTTACTGGTTAGAACTCAAGCCCTGCAGTTAGTAAGGCCTGGGTTTGAATTTCAGTTTGGCTAATTCATGTTTTGAGCCTCAGTTTCCACATCTCAGAAGCAAAAATAGCACCTGTTTCATGGGGCCACTGTGGAAATGGAAAAATCAGTGGAAAGAACTAAGCACGATGCCTGATACACAGTGCACACTCAGTGAGGCAGAGCTGTTCTTGTCATCACAGTTCTATTTTTATCTATCTTTTTTTTTTTTTGAGTTGGATCTGTCACCTAGGCTGGAGTGCAGTAGCGCACTCATGGCCATCACAGCCTCGACCTGCTGGGCTCAGGTGACCCTTCCCCCTCAGCCTTCCAAGTAGCTGGAACTACAGGTGTGCACCACCATGCCTGGCTAACTTTTTGATTTATTGTAGAGATGAGGTCTCGCCAAGTTGCCCAGACTAGTCTCAAACCAGAGGGCTCAGGCAATTCTCTCACCTTGACCTTCCAAAGAGCTGGGATTATAGGCGTGAGCCACTGCACCTGGACCATACCTGCTTCTAATCACACAAAGGCTGAGAATCAGCCATCTTACTGTACCACATCGTTTCTCACCCTCTTATAATGGCCTGTTTATTTCTCTCTGTCACCAGAATGGAAGCCCTCAGAGGGCCAGGACCTCCAGGTCTACCTTGTTTCTGCTGAGCCCAGCACAGCGCTTCAACAGTGACTCTATAAATCTTTGGTGAGTGAATGAATGAATGAATGAATGAATGAGATCCTCGCCACATGCCTGTGAAAAAAACAGAGCAGGCAGGTTTCTCCCCTAGAAAGGAAGAGAAGCCTGGGTTTGTGTTCTGGCTGGTCTAGCCATTTAACCTCGGGCAAGTCACTCTAGCCTCTGTAGGCCTCAGTGCCTACAACTATAAAATGGGCAAGAGCTTTGTAACCTTCCTGGCTGTTATTATTATTACAAGGAAACTGAAGAACAGAGGGACTTAAATGTACTTTGTAAAAAGACAGCTCAAGGACAGAATGAACCTGCCCCGCCCTCTGCCATTCTAAATCCCTTCCTGGCTCTAGCAGAATCCTGAGAGGATCAGGCCCAAAAGCCTCCAGGTTCAGAAGTGCCTGCAGCCCTGGTGGGGGCAGGGAAGGTGGGAGGACCACTCCTTCCTTACAGCACATCTCATCCCTTCCTCTCTCCCAAGGAGGAGAAGATGGGTCCCTGACTATTCACTTTGAGTGGACAGAAGGGGCAGAGGTGGCATCCCCAGGACGCAGGCCCAGAAATCATTTTGCAATTGAGCATCTCTTATAAGACATGAGTTTTCAGTAACCAAGGTCTCCTCCTTTTTCCTCTTTGCCCCCTCCACCCCAACCCCATGACCCTCTTCCTGGCTACCCCTGGGAAACCAGAATCGGATTATTTGAAAGAAGACAGCTCCTTGCCCCACAATTGATTTCAAAACTGAAAACATCTGCCAGGGATTTGTGCCAATCACAGCCCAACTTATGAATTTGCTGGGACTGGTCTTTTATCCTCCCCTTCCGTCCTAGGGAAAGTCACCACTCCGAGGATAAGTGCTTTGCTGTCTAAATTTCTGAGCCCAAAATAATCATTCCTTGGGAAGGTAGTCGATTACATTTAATATCTTTAAACCCACAAATGCAAAAATGGCCTGCCTTCTGCAAGCCAGACTTCTCTGAGGATTCAGTTTCAACTAACACCATGGAGAAATTTGCTATGCAAGGTTCTCCTATGTAACAATAGAGAAGTGAGTAAACTTCCCTAAGCCAGTTTACTCCCCAGCAAAAGGAGGATACTAATACTTACTTGTCTATATGTATAGGCATGGCTAGGTGGTCAAGGTATGATGTCAAGTTAAAAAGAGCAAGTAGGGCTGGGCTCGGTGGCTCAGCCTGTAATCCCGCGCTTTGGGAGGCCCAAGTGAGTGGATTGCGTGAGCCCGTGGGTTCGAGACCCACCCGGGCAACTTGGCGAGACCTCATCTCTACAATAAATCAAAAAATTAGCCGAGCGTGGTAGCGTGCGCCTGTAGTTCCAGCTACTTGGAAGGCCGAGGTGGAAGGATTGCTGGAGCCCAGCAGGTAGAGGCTGCGGTGGCTGGGAGCGTGCCACTGCACTTCAGTCTGGGCAACAGAGTGAGACTCCAACTCAAAAAAAAAAAAGGGCAAGTAGTTGTGATGAATAGTCTGTGTGGTATAACCCTATTTTGCCAAATGACAGAAGAAAACAGTGATAGTTCTGTATATTAGTATATGAAGGACATAAGATTTGGGGCTAAAGAAATGGTTTGTAAAGTGATTTGTACTTTCTATGTACTTCTATATGCAAATTTTTTAAATAATGCTTTTTGTAATCAGAAGAAAATAGAGGTTTAAAAAAAATACCCAGCTCAAGCAGGGCACAGTGGCTCATGCCTGTAATTCCAGCACTTTGGGAGGCTAAGGTAGAGGGATTGCTGGAGGCCAGGAGTCAGAGACAACTTGGGAAACAAAAGTAAGACCTCATCTCTGCAAAAAATGAAAAATTAGCCAGGCATGATGGTGCACACCTGTAGTCCCAGCTACTTGGGAGGCTGAGGCAGGCGGATCACTTGAAGCCAGGAGGTCAAGGCTGTGGTGAGCCCGTGATCATGCCACTGCACTCCTGCCTGGGCAACAGAGTGACACCCTGTCTCTTCCCTCCCCTCAAAATACCCAGCTCTCAGGATTGTTGGGGGAAATAACCATGTCAATAAACTGGCACTGGCCAGGCGTGGTGGCTCACGCCTATAATCTTAGCACTTTGGGAGGCTGAGGTGAGAGGATTGCCTGAGCTCATGGGTTCAAGACCAACCTGGGCAACTTAGCAAGACCTCATCTCTTGTTGAAAAATTAGCCGGGTGTGGTGGCACACACCTGTAGTTCCAGCTACCTGGAAGGCTGAGGTAGAAGGATCGTCTGAGCCCAGCAGGTCGAGGCTGCGGCCATGAGCATGCCACTGCACTCTAGCCTGAGTGACAGGGTGAGACTCCGACTCAAAATAAATAAATAAATAACTACACTGGCACTGTATGTAGAACACAGTATTCACTCAGCAAACAAAAGGAGCCTTTGAGCTTTTTTCTTTGAAAGTGCCAATGATGTGCCCTACATGTTACATCACCTTTCTCTGGCTGGCACCCTATTTTCCTTTCCTTTCTTTACTTTGTCTTTTTTTTTTTATGAATTAAGAAAGGTAGATTTATTACAGGAAAGATATGTTGTGAAGGGCAAACCAGGCAGGACAGCAATGAGAGTGTCTGCTGTCTGCTGCCCCTGTTTTCTTTTCATTAAGTAGATTTAATCAGAACTTATCAAATAAGATGTTTTGCCTGACTCCATGTGACTCAGTACCCGGAACCATGCCTGGCATAGAGCAGGGCCTCAGTTGAACAAAAAAATAGATGCACAGAGTGTACCTAGATCAGGGCTCAGTGGGGTGGGGGGTTAGGAATAGAACTCACAGCTTCGGAGGGCTGGGGGCAGCAGGCATCCAGGTAGTGGGCTGGGCTAGGCAAGGGGAAGTCGCAGGCTTCTGCACAGGTCCAGCAACAGTCTTGGGGCCCAGAGGCACCTTGCTTCCTGCAGGGGGCACTGCAGTCTGTGCAGTAGCCCTGGGCCTAGGAGACGGCAAGGCTCAGCGTCTGGGCCAGGCAGCAGGTAGTGACAGCCAAGACTCGGCTTTTCCAAGGGAGCAGGGAAAGGTTCGGCTGAGGACAGGAGACGAGGGAACTCCTGGTCCCACAAAAGGGATAGATGCAGGGACTAAATGACAAAGGTGTCTCAAGGTAAGAGCCTGCAGATGAAGGGGCAGGTTAACTGGGTTCCCCTTCCCCAGAGCCCACCCTTTATCCCCAACCAGGCCCCTCACCAGCAGGCAGTGCCTAGTCAGCAGCACTAGGCCCAGCAGCAACAAATAGATGCCCACAGCAATGAAGACGATGGTGGGGATGGGGAGCAGCAGGGGTGGGCTGCTGACAGGAGCCGGGGTTGGATTCCACGGGCTAGAGGAGGCCTGGACGAGCACAGGAGGAAGGGGCGACAAGAAGGTGGGGAGGAGCTGCAGGGACACAGGAATACCAAGAGGGACACAGAGGTGGCTGGGGGAGGAACAACCACCAGATGGCGGGGAGTCATACACCCTGACTCACTATCTTGTCCCCAAACCTGCCTTTTTTCTTGTTATCCCTATTTCAGCACCATCACCTTGGTCATTCTCGAGTCTTCTGAGACTTACTGAGCTTCCTTTCAGAAAGCCTCTCCAAACAGATCCCTGGTCTCTGACTCCATTGCCATGGCTTTAGCATCCCTCAGGCCGCCACACCACTGGCCCCGAACTGCCTTCCAAACTGCAATTTTGCCCCTTTCCACACTGTCTTTGTGTATTTCTCCCTCCCTTACAATCCATCAACGGCTCCCAACGACTCAACGCACACTTCGTATCCCAGCAACAAAGCCCCCAATCTAGCCCTACCTACCCCTCTACAACTCAGCCACACTGAAGTCCCAGCAGTTTCCCCAAATGTCACATGCTGTCTCTCACTCCCAGACCTCTGTCCATGCTGTTTCCTCTGTCTGAAATGCTTTTCCTTGAGTACTTGGTAAACTCCTCCTGATCTTGCTAGCAACACCAGAAATGTGCCTTCCGGTGAGAAGTCCATCCCTGGCACTCTCTTTCTCACGACTCTGGTCCTGAGCTGGAAGGGTCTACTTTGGGTCGAAAGCCCCCTCCCCAGTCCGGGCTGGAAGTCAGGGTGAGGACAGGGCGCGGGTGGGGGGCGGAGGCGCCAGGGAGGGAAAGGGGCTTGAACTCACATCCATGGGACAGGGCAGCGCCAGCCAGTCCGGGAGCTGCAGAGGAAGAGAAGGTTCTGGGCCTCAGAGGCTGAGGGACCGTTAGAAGCGGGTGCCCACTCTCCTCCTTCCACTTCCCGTCTGGGGAACCGGAGGGCCGGCGAAGGCCTCAGTTTCTCTCTGGTTCTGCCGATGGGAGGAGTCAAGCGGTCCGGGGATTCGAGGGCGGCTTCTTCCTCGCAGGCCCCGGCCTGGCCCAAACCACACCCCTCCGCTGTCCCCACACCCCGGGATCCCTCCCTCGACCCATCGCCGTCACCTGCACCCTCGCGGCCGCCGGCAATTCACAGATTCCGCGCGGCGCCAGGTCCAATCGGCCGCGGCGCCAGCTCCGCCCAGAAACCTTCCGCCGCGTCTCGCTGTTGCCATGGGGACCGGGGCGCCGCTCCTACGGCGGCCGCCGAGACCCAAACTCCTTCTTCCCTCCGCGCTTCTCCCGCGCGGTCTCCCTGCCTGCGGTCCTCGGGGGCTTTCCCGCCGAGACTGAACCGAAAGAGCGAATTTCCGCCGCCACCGGCCCGGGCCGGATCCTCATCAGACCCGGGATGTCGGAGGAAACACTGGGTCCTGGGGCGCTACACAGGGAGGCTTGAACTTCACTCCTGGGTTACACCCGCAACTTGTGGTTTGACTCCCGCCAAGTCACGGAGTGTCGCTCAGTCTATTTCCTCATCTGCTTGTTAACGGATGGAATTGTCAATATTTTTTCCACCTGACCCCACTCCTCCATCTTTACTCCGTTTCACAACCTTCTCATCACTGCCAAAGTGATTTCCCACCGTCCACTCAGATCTTGCTCCCTTTCTACTTTAAAACCTCCAGGGGCTTCCCAGTTGACCCCACGGTGAGGCCCAAATGCCTTAGCAGGCTGTCAGCACCATCCCCTCTGAGTCCTGTCCATCTTCCATTTATTAATTCACAACATCTCCCGGGGGCGCCAAGCACTCCTTAGGCTCTGGAGCTCTAGCAGAGAATAAGCCAAATTCAAAGACAGGAATTTGCTGACATTCTACTGGAGGAGGAGGATCAGATGATAAATATTTAAACAAAGTAAGATTTTGTGCCCCATTAGTTCTTTCAAGGACTCACACAGGATCCGTTGAAGTTTCCTGAGCCAGTGCATAGGGTCTCACACTTCCACAGCTTTGCAGATGCTGTTCCCTCTGCCTGGAACACTGTTCCCCTGTCGTCGTCCCCCGCCCCATGTACTCAGATTGCCTCGGTGAGGTCTTCCCGTCCACTTCAGGAGGAGGCAGCTGCTTGGGCTCTAAGTTCCCACAGCACCATATAGACACTTTGTTCTAGCACTTATCACAAGGTATTTGAATTCCCTGCTTCGGTGTCTGGCTCCCACACTAGACTGTGAGTGCCTGGGGCCTGCTCTAATTCATCTCTGTATCCTAAACTCTAGCACTTAGCCTAGCCTTGGGGGCCCCAGAGGAACACTCACTGTTTCTATGAAGGAAATGAATTTAACTCAAGGTCTGGCACAGTGGCTCATGCCTGTAATCACTTGGGGTGGCCTGGCAGGAGGATTGCCTGAGCCCAGGAGTTTGAGACCAGCCTGGGCAACATGGGGAGACCTCGTCCCTACAATAAATCAACAAATATGGCGGGGGTGGTGGTGCATGTCTATAATCTTAGATAATTAGAAGATTGAGACAGAAGGATCGCCTGAGCCCAGCAGGTTGAGGTTGCGGTGAACTGTGAGCGTGCCACGGCACTATAACCTGGGTGACAGAGTAAGACCCCGATTCAAAGATAGATAAATAAATCTAACTCTGTCCACAATGAAGCATTGTTGTTATTACTCAGATGTCCTAGTTCCCTTGGCTATCAAGGTACTCAGACCCTCCCATTTCATTCTTAACCTTTTTGATTCTATACCCACGTGCTTGTACACATGCCCACATGCATACTCACAATGGAACACCTTCCTGTGGGCCTTCAGACTTTCTTACAGTTGCTGCATCCTGGCATTTTCCCTAAAAGCAATGCCCCCGTTTGCCTGTTTTCGACCATGTTCTCCACCCCGATGTACCTCACAGTCACTGCCTCTGTGAATTTCCCACACCATGAGGCAGCCACAGAAACTGCCAGAGTCTGTGGCCTTGGGTCCCAAATCTCCCTTCCCACCTTCAACCACAATGAGAAGGTCCCAATCACTCCCTTTGCCACCCCCAGCCCTCTCAGAGGGGTTTCAAGCCCAGAAAACAGGAATCCAGCTGTCCCCATTGTTGATTCTAAGGCAGGATCTGATTGCCTTCTTGGGCTGTCTCTGGTCTGACAGAATCCCGAGGACCAAGACGAGGCCAGTTCCCTCAGCAGCCCCAGAAAAGGCCTCAGGTGACACACACTCCCTCTTTCTCTTCAGACCCTGCCAACAGAGACGTCAGCCTTGGCAAGGCATCTGGACACGTCCATGGCCTGCAGTGGTCAGACTTGCTGCTGGTGGTGTTCTGTTCCTACCATGGGCTCATACATTATGCAGGAGGGTAGACAGTGCCCCAGGCCTGCTTGTTGCCAGGCAAGCCAATAGGAAGGATGATGTATGCACCCACTTTGCCAAGGCCCCTCTTCTACCCACATCACACCATTTGTTGGGGGCAGGGAGAAACTGACTTCACAATAGCTGGCTAACCATAAGGTCTCTCTCTCCCTGAAATTCGCTGACCCTGGGAAAGGGAGAAAAGGCTTATATATCCCATTCATCATGGGGTGGCAGGGAGATCAGAGATGCAGAAAAGGCCCAGAGGATGAAAGCTTCAGCGAGCTTGGGCGTGGGAAGGGAAACTGGCAGTTCTGATTTCAATTTCACACGTTCAGTCCCCTCCTGTGGACTTAAGGTAACATCGTCTCCCAGAGATTAAGAGGTTCACCAGTCTCCTTAGTAAGAAAATGAAAGGCTTGTGTTTAGGTAATGACCCTGGGGAAAAAGGAAGCTGAACTGAGCTACAGCTAGCATAGAGGCCTCGGCCGGGCATGGTGGCTCACACCTGTAATCTCAGCACTTGGGGAGGCTGAGGCAGGAGGATTGCTTGAGGCCAGGAGTTGGAGACCAGCCTGGGTAACATAGTGAGACCTCTTCTCTCCAAGAAATTTAATTGGATGTGGTGGTGCAAGCCTGTAGACCCAGCTACTTGGGAGGCTGAAGCAGAAGGATCACCTGAGCCCTGGAGGTCAAGGCTGCAGTGAGCCATGATCGTGTCACTGCACTCCAGTCTAGGTGACAAAGCGAGACCTTGGGTCCAAAAGAGAGGCTCTTAGACTTCATTTAATCCTTACAGTCACCAGAGTGGCAAAAGCCATTGTTTATATTTTATAGGTGAAAAATAATTATGGCCCAGTTGAAAAAGCAGTTTTAGAATCAGGCAAGATATGGATTTGAATTCTAGTTCTACCACTGCATGTCTGTGCAACCTTGGGCAAGTCAACTGACCTCACTAAGCCTCAGTTGTCCTTATTCAGAAAGTGAGAATTACCCTAAGAGACTGGCAGAGCTTGTGCTTAGAGAAGTTGTATGTAATGCTCCTGGCATAGAACAAGCATTCATTTAAAAATAGAACAGTTGGGCATGGTGGCTCAGCACTTTGAGAGGCCGAGGCAAGAGGATTGTTGGTCGAGGCTGTGGTGGTTGTAAGTGTGCCACTGCACTCCTGCCTGGGCAACAGAGTGAGACTCCAACTCAAAAAATAAATAAAATAAGTAGATACGTAAGTAAATAAGTAAATAAATAGCAACTGATGAATGTCATAATGAAATTATTTTATTTTATTTTTGAGTTAGAGTCTCACTCTGTAGCCCAGGCTGGAGTGCAGTGGCACACTCACAGCTACTGCAGCCTTGACCTGCTGGGCTCAGGTGATCCTTCCACCTCAGCCTTCCAAGTAGCTGGAACTACAGGCGTGCGCCACCCTGCCTGGCTAATTATTTTACTGATTGTAGAGATGAGGTCTCACCATGTTGCCCAGGCTGGTCTCGAACCCCTGGGCTCAGACAATTCTCTTGCCTTAGCCTCCCAAAGTGCTGGGATTACAGGTGTGAGCCACTGCTCCCGGCTCTTGTCTTTATTTTATAGATAAGAAGCCTGAGGCTCAGAAGAATTAAATCACTTGCAAAGATTCCTGGCTAGAGTAGCAGAACCAGGATTTAGGCGCAGACAGTGGGGCTTGTGTGCATACGACAGAAGCTCAGAGAGGTTCTGAAGCTTGACCAAGATCTGAAGCCAATCTATGGTAGAAGAAAGGGCCTGGACCCTTAGTTTTCTGACTCCAGCTCACCTGTTGTGCCCCTCAGCCTTTTCTGGTGTCCAGATAAAGGGTGGGACTGGAATTGCTTGGAACAGTACCTTACCTAGGACAGGCAAGTCAAAGTACTAAATAATACATGCTCTGGCACCCTGGCCAGGACTCTCGCCAGAGCACAGGTGGGTGGGGGGAATCGGACCCTTCCCTGGGTATCATGTGGGAAACAAGCCACTTCTGGCTGCTTATTGTTTACTTATTCACAGTCTTCGATGATACCACACCTGCACACCTCCACAGGGCCAAGGAGCGCTGCACCCAGGTAAAGAGAATGAGCAGAACAGCACTTGGACCTTGGAGCCCGAAGGAACAGAAACGGTAAACTCTAGGCCCAGGGTCAATCGAGTGGCAGATCTGTGGGGACAGCATGGGGGTGAGACTCAACTGGGGAGACAGGCTGGGGGAGGAAAAGGCAGTGGTTGAACTGAAGTCAAGCTAACCTGGATGAGCCTCCCATGGCGCCGCCCCCACTGCCCCTCTGAGCTCAGTCTGCCCAGTGTTATCTGGCTGTACACCCAGGCCAGGACTGGCTGGGGGCCGCTCCCTCCCTCCGCCAAGATGTGCAGCCTTGACCTCCCGAGCAAGGGTTCAGAGTGTGTGGGGTGCATCCCATCCTGGGTTTGTTACACCAGTTCAGCAAACACACACACACACACACACACACACACACACACACCAAATGCTATTTCCTTTCCAGTGCCCTTTCAACACTTCTGATTACTCCAGGAGAAAGTCTCATTTTGCTGCCAGAAGCCATTTAACACCTTTCTTTCTGTGCTTATCTTTTCTTTC